AATCCCTCTCTCTCAGCCCAACTCACCTCACAGGGTTGTTGTTGTGGGGAAAATAGGAGGATGAAGGAGGACTAGGTTTGTTCACCGTCTTGAGTTATTTATAAAAAAATAGTAAAGGCGGTATTAAAAAATCTAAAAAAAAAGCATGGTCCAGTTTTGGGTAAGTTTTACACTGGGTTGAGAAATATTGGGAGATTTCGCCAATATTTTTGGAGAAAATATAACAATATGAGCTATCATAGCAACTATTTTTAAATTTTTCATCCATGGCCTTTGCAAAAAGAGTCTTCCAAGTCAAGGAACTGGATCATGAAAAACAAGCAAATTTCTATGCCATTGACAGTAAGTTCCAATGCATTCTACCAATTTGTTTCTAAGCCATTTCACCTTGTTTTATAAAGGTCTCAGGAGGCAACAGCATGGTCTACAGCTTCAAGAAGGGAAAACTAGCTGACCACACAACTCTTGGAATAACTATAAATATCCTTTGTAGTGATGTTCCTATCTACTGGGCTGAGGTAAAACTTCACTGCCTTTGAATGCTGTACTTGCTGGAAACAGCCATCTAGTAGTGCATAGATTTTATAATAGATGGGATGAAACAAGACCTCTGTACTGTGGATAAAAGGGGAGAGACGCTTCGATGCTTTATAATCCAAGATAATCTCTTCCCTACTTGCCTGAAGAATTGAGGAACAAGAAAGCCACATTGTGAAGTTAGACTAGGATTTCTCAGTTTGGAACCTTCCAGATCATAGCGTATATGCAGTTGTCCTTCAACCAACCAAGTCAGATGAAAGTTGTCGTGGCAACCAATATCCTTCATGCCATACCTGTGCAAGGAGTACCTCATTCATCACATCAGCATTAGATAGCATTAGTGTCCTGTTCAGTCCTTCTACGGGAAAATAAACCTATCTTAATCTTATGAGGGAAAGGATGCATATCTCAGTTTTCAGCAGAGCTGACTATTATAAGAAGCCACCAAAAAAAAAAAAAAAAAGTTACTTGCTAGGCTTCAGCTGAGGAACTTTGCAAGTAAGATTTTTGTCTATTCTTCCGTCTGGATTTTTATTAGAACCGTGACCTGGACTATATTTCTTGTAAGGATATTGGGCTCAGGAGATACCTAGTTTATGTTTCTCTGACTTTGGGCCTTTATATCGGCATGTTGTTGACTTAATTCTTGGGATTTAGGAGTTGATGTTGGTGAGTAGAGTAAGGGGATGGGGCCTTGGAGATGCTTTTAATTCTTTCAATGCTATATCGTCATTAGGTTGAACTTCCCCCTTCTGGCGTTCTGATAAAGTCTATCAGCAGACTCTGACTCTCCTGCTTGATTCTTCCCTTCATGTAGAATCGTCTTTCTTCCATGGACTCATCCAGTTCAGGGGTGGTTTTAGTTACGGAAAGGTTGTTGGGGCAAGAAACACAATCTTAGAGAAAGGCACTTCTTTGCTCCAATAATTATTTTCTTCTTTTGCAGAAGAAGCAGAAGGAAGAACGGCTAAGCTGCTTGATTTTGATTTTGAAGATCTGCCTGACAGTGCTTTAAATGCCCTCATACTTCCATGTGTCTGTACCTTGGTTGTTCCCTATACATAAAAGTCCACAATTCTTGGTATCTTAGTACATTCCAAACATTGGTGATACTGCCAGAAGAACAGGGGCATCCTTGTCATTCAGTGATCCCTCTCTAGTGACATTAGCAATAATCTGGTGAATTTCATTCCTAAAGATGGCAAATAAAAGACAATCTTGAGATCCACATGAGTGCTTCCTCTAGTTTATCCGCTTGTAGAGTGAACTGGACAATCTCAGGGTTGGATAGCATGTGGCATGGCTACTTGTAGGGGATGATGGGACTTCCAGCCCAGCGTCTGGAGGAGCACACATCATCTTGCCAAATGTGCTGGATGCCAATTCTATCCCCTTCAACTAGCAGGGTAACGAAAGTCAAGTGCATCTGAAGGATGCTAAGTAAGAGAAGCAGCATCAGCAATCCTTGTGCCGACTATCAACATCATAAACCCCACATATAAGTTCATCACACTAAAACCTAAATAAGCCATAATGCTGGGAGTCAAAAGTAACACTATGCTGCAAACCATGGTCTACAACAGTTTTTCTCAACCTCAGCAACTTTGAGATGGGCGGACTTCAATTCCCAGAATTCCCCCACCCGCACGGGGGCGGGGGGGATCTGGGAGTGTGATGTCCACCCCC